GACGATGGCGTGCTTGCGAGCCTGAGGAGAGAATAAAGGAGGTGAAGCAAAAACGTGAGAGGAGGCGAAATGTGGTGCTGGGGAAGGAGAACAAGGACGTGTAGCAGCAGCAGCAGCAGCAGCAGCAGCAGGTGGAGGAGAAGGAGAAGGAGAAGGGAAGGTAGTTGGGGGGGGGGGGGGGCGGGGGGAGGGGGTCTGACTCACCCACTCGGACTTTGCGAACGTTCTCATCTCGGCGAAGACTCGCGCCTGCTAGTGAGTGAGAACGATGAAGCGAGAGATTGAAAAGGAAGTAGCGGCAGCGGCAGCGGCAGCAGCAGCAGCAGCAGCAGCAGCAGCAGCAGCAGCAGCGGCAAGGGATTTTCTTGGGATTTCAGACCTTGAAGTTGAGGAGACGGAGGTCATAGCGCACATGAGCAGAACGAGACCTGAGAGCAAAGACTTTGAAATCCCGCCATGCTGCAGTTGACCAGTCAGAAGGGACGACGACGATGACGAGGAGGAGGAGGAGGAGCATCAGGGGAAGGAGAGGGTAGTAGTGGAGGATTAGATGTACCGTAGAGGGAGGAGGAGAGAAGAAGCGAGTCTGAGTGAAACATCTTCTTGCTCAGATGCGATATGATTTGCTCCTTCCTCCTCCTAGCCAGTTGCCAGCCTTCGAACACGCTCCGCATTATCTGCATGCAGATGAGAATGCGGGAAGGAGGAGGAGGAAAAGGAGGAGAGAAACAGTCAGCAGGTGATAGCGGCGTGAACTCACAGCCATGTGCTGCCGGAGAAGAAGCTTGGAGATGCCTAGACATGCAATGAAATCCTTGAAAAGATCATTGCAGAGGAGGAGGAGGAGGCGGAGGAGGAGGAGAAGCAGCAGCAGGAAGAGGGGGGAGAGAGGTTGGAGAGGGGGAGGCTGGAGGCTGACCATGCCGGAGCTGCTTGACCTGATGGACTTTGAAGATCCATTGATCGAGCGAGAGGCTGAAAGAAGAGGAAAATGATGAGATGGGGAAGAAAAGAAGAACGGGAAGGATAAGATCGAACAAGTTGAACACGGATAAGATCGAACAAGTTGAACACGGATAAGATCGAACAAGTTGAACACGGACGAGGCCCAGAAAGACGACACCAAGGATGAGGAGGGCGGAGGCGGAGGCGCAAAAGGAGGAGGAGGAGGAGGAGGAAGAGGAGGAAGAGGAGAGCGGAGGCGAAGCAGGAGCAGGAGCAGAAGCAGGAGCAGGAGCAGGAGCAGGAGCAGGAGCAGGAGCAGGAGGAGCGGGTAGTGGTGATTGTTGCAGTAGAGGGAGTCTGACGAGCTACCCGGAGTACTCGAAGAAGAGAGTTCTTCTGTTCCTATAGCAGAGCGTCTTGAAGCGCCGCCGGAGCTCCAGGAAATCTCGCTGGTCACGACAAATATGAGAATGAAGGAGACGAGCGAGGTGAGAGGTCAGAGATTGACAAGAGGAGCAGGAGCAGGAGCGGGAGGAGGAGGAGGAGGAGGAGGAGCGGGAGGAGGAGGAGGAGGAGGAGGAGGAGGAGGAGCAGCAGCAGGTGATGGTGGATACCCATAATTCGAATGACTCGCGCTGAAGTGCCGAGAGGATGCGAGCGCGGAGAGCAAGGGTGGAAGTCAAGTCCGAGCAGTTGAGCAGGGCAGTGAAGCCAAAGAGAAGCGAACGTCGATGCTGCTTGCTGTGCAACAGGTGCAGCCGGTTGCTCCTCCTCTCCTTCTGTTCACACCTCTCTCTCCATGACACCAACGCCCTGTAGGAGCTGTCAGACCTCCCATGCTGATACCCATCGTTCTCTTTGTCGCCACCACATCCATCCTCCTCCTCCTCCCCCTCCTCCTCCTCCTCATCTCCATCATCATCATCTCCATCATCATCGTTCTCATTCTCATTCTCATTATCATTCTCCAACACAATCAGCAACCACTCCTCGCTTCGTACCATTCGCAGCTCTTGCGAGCTTGTCTTGCTATCTGCATGGACAGGTTGTAATGAAGCTTCCTCCTCCTGCAATTAATCAACAATCTCCTCCTCCTCGTCCTCCTCGTCCTCCTCCTCTTCGTCCACCTCCTCCTCCTCTTCGTCCTCCTCGTCCTCCTCGTTTTCCTCTCGTCCTCGTCGTCGTCGTACTCCTCCTCTTCGTCCTCGACCTCGTCCTCCTCGTCCTCGTCCTCGTCCTCGTCCTCCTTACCTCAGGGACCATCGTGACCACTCGCTAACCGCCAGCGCCATGAGGCGGCGGAGGAAGAGCGAGACAGCAGCGAAGAGCTTCCTTGCGAGCAGCGACCTCTCCTACAGCGAATGAGCCAAGAGAGCCAGAGGAGGAGAGAGAGACGAGGGGGGAAGGGGGAGTTGGTGGGGGAAGTTAGGGTGTTCAGTGGCAGGAGGAGAGGAGGGCAGGGAGCAGGAGGGAGCAGGAGAAGGAGCAGGGACGAGAAGGAGCAGGGACGAGAAGGAGCAGGGAGTAGGAGGAGGAGGAGGATGAGCAGCAGCAGCAGCAGAAGCAGCAGCAGAAGCAGGACTTTGCAGGTACCTGGGAGACATTCAGCCATTCCTGCAAGACTTCTCGCTCTGTCTTTATCTTCTGCTTCTCCTCAAGGCGTCGGAGGCTGCGAGGAGCTCAGCGGGTTTAGTTCAATGGAGTTTAGATTGCTCCTCCTACCGCTGCTTCCGAGCTGCTCGTTTGCGGCACAAGAAGTTCCAACCTTCCCAGCTGACGCTGAGCTGAGCGACTCGCCTACTGCAGAGAAACGTCGAGAGATGATGGATGCCCCTCCTCATGATGAGCTGCTTCAACGTAAGCTCTGCTTGCCCCTTCCCTCCCCCTCCTCCTGCCACCTCCTCCTCTCCCTCCCCACCTCATCCAGCCTCTCCCTCCCGCTCCTCCACCTCCTTCCGCCTATTCGTTCTTCAATCCTCCTTCTCACCTTCACGTACGTCTGCGTTCTTGTCTTTGCGTACCGGAAGAGACTCTGCTGAAACCTTTTCGTCGCCTTCGTCTGCATGCCTCGATCAAAGTCCACCTGAACTCTCGCCTCCCGTGCCCTCCCCTCTGTCTCCCTGGTTCTTGCCTCCCCTCTCTCTCCCTGGTTCTTGCCTCCCCTCTCTCTCCCTGGTTCTTGCCTCCCCTCTCTCTCCCTGGTTCTTGCCTCCCCTCTCTCTCCCTGGTTCTTGCCTCCCCTCTCTCCCTCTCGCCTCCATCCTCACTCACGTCATGCAGAGTTTCTCTCCACGACGTCAGGGCCTTACGGCACATGAGGATCTGCGCGCTGAAAGAAAGTGAGGGAGGGAGGGAGGGAGGGAGGGAGGGAGGGAGGGAGGGAGGGAGGGAGGGAGGGAGGGAGGGAGGGGAGATGTGGGGGGGAGGGCGAGGGGGGAGACCTTGTGATCCGGGCCAGCAATTGATCTTTGATGCGTCGCATTCTCTTGAAAAAAGAGGAAAACAGAAGCCAGTCGAGGAAGAGCAGGCGGAGCTTGAGCAGGCAGGTCTGAGGCTGTCAGTCCGCAAGGAAGGGGGGAGAGAAGAAAAATGAAACGAAATTGGAGGAGAAAAAGGAGGGACAAGGTAGAGAAATGACCAACAAGGAGGAGGAAGACGAAGGAGTTGCAGGGGCATGAGCAGGAAGAGGAAGAGGAGCAGGACTTGTGAAGAAATGGTGGGATGAAGATGATGGGGTAATGGAAGGGGAGCAGGAGGTGCAGGAGCAGGGACCTTATCGAGGAAGCGAATGAGTCTAGCACGAAACAAGGTCTTGAGCTTGAACGAGACGATCCAGACGTCCATACTCTCCTGCTTTCGCCTCAGCCGCTGGCAATGAAGTCAGTGACAAAGAGAAGCAAGCTGGACAAGGTAGGAGGAGAGAGGAGAGGAGAGGAGAGGAGAGGAGAGGACAGCAGAGGAGAGAAGAGAAGGGAGAGGAGAGGAGAGGAGAGGAGAGGAGAGGAGAGGAGAGGAGAGGAGAGGAGAGGAGAGGAGAGGAGAGGAGAGGAGAGGGGAGGAGAAGGATGGATTCTCACCATCTTTCAAGCACAGATTTGTTCCCACAATTTCTTGTAGC